AAAAAAAAAAAAGAAAGAAAAAAAAAATTATTACGTTAGTTAAAGCTCGTATCGCTGAGTTGCGCAGCAACCAACCACAGTCGGTTCTCAAAAGTGTACATTATTATGATTATCATTATTATGTATTAGCATAATCGATAAGCCCAATCAATAAAGTTTAAATGTATGATACTGAACACGCGACTCTCTTCATTTTCAACGGCTCCGCGCGTACATATAATATTATATGATAGGGAAAAATAATACATGTTTTGCGGCGTGCGTGTTGACGTTGTTTTTCAATAAGACATTGGCCAAAAATGTTTTTTCCCCGTCAACGCGCAACGTCGCCACAGATACGTGTGACTCATCGCTCGTAAATTTTAATAGCACCTGCGTGATAAATAATCACCAACTCCTGCCCGTGTGTCTCTCATCCTTGTTTTATCTTTGCTCGCCAGTAGACGCCAAAAATTTACTTCGAATGAGAAAAAAAGGGGCATGAGGAGAATAGCAAAGAAAAAAAAAATACCCACAGCCATTGCTCACTTTACGTAATTCTCGCTTTCAAATTTTGTGAGCGCGCGTAACAATGTATTATACAAGTCACGCACGGGTATACTATATGACATACGTATGTTTGTGTAGTTAGATTAGCGCAAGTGTGGGCGATGTGCTTGATCGGTAAGAAAGAGAGATCGGTAGATTGGCCGACTCGGGCACTGGGTTTCGCGAAACGTGGCGCCATCCGTTACTCAGCTCGCGAGACGACTTTACTCATACCGATTGCACGTATTTTCCTTGCGTGCGCACGCTGATTTTCCTCTCGAGAGTTTAATAAATAAAAATGAAAGAAAACTCACTATACTTAACTATAAAGCGGATTCCACGAGCGATCGTTCCTTAAAAGACGGGTTACGCGGGCAGAGAAAAATAATTTTTAAAAAATGTTCGAATCAGACAGGAGAAAAAATGTAAGTGGTGCGTAAGAAGTGGGTGGGCTCCCGTTCCAAAGAGCCGGACGTATATGGGTCGGAGGAGATCAGGGAAGAATTCGAATGACGATCTGTTCAGCAGCAACTCGCTTGATTCGTCTTCCACTTTTGCACAAATCACACAAATTCTTTCTGTATTTCGGTTTCGCTCTTCTTACTTTTGTCAAAAAAGCCTTAAACGAATTCATTTTATTTATTTATTTAATTTTTTGCTAATATACAAATGCGCTACAGGTAGATAACATCATCAAACGCAAATTTGACAATACGATTGCATGTATATACTTAGGCTCGAAGTAGATGAAGACAAATGAAGCGCGAGTTAAGAGAAACGCAAAAGTAGCTTAGTTTTGATGTGCACATTATTTTTTGTTTATTTTTTTTAACAAAGTGCGTACATACGTGTCAGCTGTTACGAAAACAGTCACCACCTTTGAATCAATAATACTTCCGCATAACGTTGAGCACAATTGCTTGGTCAAACTCATCTAGTCAGCTTAAACTTAAAAACGATGCTGTAATTTTGTTCATCAGGGCGAAAAGGACAGTACTTTTGCATCTGTTGCCATAACAATCGATAAAACATTTTTTGTTTGCCTTAAATTAATCGCTCAATTGCAAGGTATAACGAAATGAAAACGTTTTTAAGTAGTACTGCAGAAGTAAAAAATGGGCACATTTTTAAATCAGACATTTTTATCTTAAACATGCAACATTTACAATAGTTACTGACAAACAGAGTAGAGTAAAAAATAATGTTAATTTCAAAGCCACTGAGTAAAATTTCACAATATTTTCTCGTATTATCCAAATGGCAAAATAAAACAGAACACTTACCACTCTCTTGGGAGATCTATTCTGTAACCGTAGACACAAGCACTAAAAAGTTCCTAATTTTATAAGCGAAAAATTCTAATACCAAGAACAAGGAAAGGTTCGCAACTGGTGCGCATCCACCTAGATCAAAGAAACCCTCGAGCCCTACCTTGCAGGTTCCTCGAGCCTGGCGCTTGCTCTAGCAACATGCACCACCAGATAATAAAACTATCTGTTGCGTAGGATTCTATGGTCTTGGGGTGCACACGAAGTAAATAGTCGAGGAACTAGTATCAACGTCTTTATTAATGCAAAAACGAGAGAAGAGCGNGTTGACCGTATCTGCGTTATTTACGGAGATATGGCGATTTTAAAATTTCGATGATTTCTGGCTTCAATATTTCTTCAATAAACGCAAGCCACTCATTTTATCAGCTTCAACAAGGGACAACATGCTTGTACAAGTGATATCAGAGTGTCCAAAGCAATTAATTAATTGTATAAATAGCTAAAGTCCCCTTTTTTATAAAACCAATTTTTTCAATTTTGAGTGATCCCAAAATACCGTCCTTTTGGCCGTATCTGCGTTATTTACGGAGATATGGCGATTATAAAATTTCGATGATTTAAACATATTTATTTCTGAACACGTGGTCCTCAATAATATATTTCGCTCATTTACATGAGTACACCTACTTAAGATGGATAAAAAATTTTTATCATAAAAGAAATTCACATTTTAAGAGTAGCCAGCGACGCACGTACATACTGTTCGAAACAATAAACAGTTACGAGTGTACTTTGTCAGACTTTTCCAAGTGTATTCAGATAATCTAAAGAGTGACGTAGTGCTATAAAAATAAATTAAATCTTTCTCAGTAGCAGAGAACGTGCGATTAAAAAAACATAATATTCTTATTATCCTAAACACGGAGTATCGGCCGCTCAGAGATATGTGCATTACTTAAATAAATAGAGCAACATTACGCTTTAGTTTAGCACTAAATTTTCCAGGCCTTACTAAGTGTAATCGAAAGATCCGTATGATACTAAGCCATTTTTAATAAGTTTTTCATAGTTTAAGAAAAATAAAGTCGAACAAGATAAATAAACATTTTTTTTAATTATAATTAATTGAGCAATAACGAATTTCGTGGAGATTTTGGTGCAAAATATTGCGATTATTATTGTTAAATACCGTTTAGCTTAGGATAAATGAAACGAAAGGTGTATCCACGGGAGCACTGAGAATTCCAATCCCCTGATTAATTTCAAAGTTAAAAAAAAAAAAAAAAAAAAAAAAAAAAAAAAAAAAAAAAAAATTATTACGTTAGTTAAAGCTCGTATCGCTGAGTTGCGCAGCAACCAACCACAGTCGGTTCTCAAAAGTGTACATTATTATGAGCGAGTGAAAGACAGTTAACTCTCTCTATATATGCACGTAAAGATCTTTGACAGGAATATTATTATTTTCGTTGAAAAGTACCCGTGCTATTTATAGGCTTGCTTATGTACGCGTTACTCCAAACGTAACAGAAATTTTCATCAGCGACGCGACGATTTGTCAATGGATAACGAAATTAAAGGTCAGCTGATCAAACGATCATCACAATGCACGATGGACAGTTACTACATACGGAATGTCAATTGTCAACGCGGAAGAGAGAGAGAGAGAGTGCGCTTACCAACATACACATGTATAAATACATTTATATACGTATACACATTGCGGAGTCCGTCTCTCGAGTGTATATATACATGTCACGCCAACTCACCGACCACCTGGACGTGCGTTGGACTCCACATGCTGGCCGATGGCTTCGACACTACGTACTATACCACTCCTCCTCCGCCCCCGTTGTGGCACACGCGACTCACCACCCCCCGTAGCGGCTGCACGTATCACCGAAAATGTTGGATTTTAACCCCATTCGAATGAGGAAGAACAAAAGAAAAGAAAAGAAAAAAATCAAATACGCGAACACAACCACCGAATCGCGCCTCCCCAGGGTGTATATTCCAATGAAAGTGTAAAATTCGTACAAGTATAAGGGTATATATAGTTACCCCCTGTATTTATTTATTGGTGCGCGATATGGAATTGTAACTCGTGCAACGAGCACTCCGATGTTTCGTCGGAGCAAAATAAGTGTGCTGACGGCTGCTGCACGAGCTCTACACTGGTAAGTATAATTAAACAGCCAAACGAGCGAGAGAGAGAGAGAGACCGCGGCGGCGCGCACCTTCGGACGCGCATCTCTCGGGGGAGCTATTATATAGGTGTCCGTTCACCAGGTACGTAGGTGAGGCTCGCTGGTACCCGAGCCTTTTACCTCCTCGTGACGATTCGAGGACCGTTTCAGGGCAAAGCGCGGATCGGTTTTTCGCAATCGGCGAAAGCTACAATGATGATCCGCGTAGGCACGACTCTTTTAATGTGACGCTTCATTAAAAAAAAACTCCGCACAGTGTATAAACGGATGTCGCCGTACTTTTGTGCCGATTCATCATCGCCGAGTGTTTTTTTTGTTTGCGACAGGTGTAATGTGTGCGCATTATATATCGGCGCGCGTAAAGTGTCAATATTTTAATTGACAGAGTGTTCCGCACGGCGGGGGACGATTTTGTTAAAAACCCGAAGCGTCAACCTTGGGAATCATCGTTACATGCCCCGTTTGTTGTTGCGAAAAAAACAAAAAAAAAAAAAAAAAAAGCTAATAAATAAAACAAACATTCATGTATTATCGTACGATACTGTCTACTTCACGGCTGAGGTGTGTTATTTGTTGGTTATGTCGTGATTGTCCAATCGAGGGAAAGATACGTGTCAACAAGGCATCGTTGAACAATTTTTGTTCGCGATAATACCAGAAGAAAAATTTGGGATAACCTCTTGAAACTGTGAAAAAGAAATCGTCCTCGATCGAGTAATACGATCTATTTGTATAAAATAATGTAGCCAATTGCGTGCGCATGAGGTTACGTATACCTACGCCGATCGCGCACATCTCATCCGTCGTAATTTTTATGTTA